TTATTCCTGTACAGATCCCCCAAGCATAATTTTTGCACAAATCCCCCTTTGGTTGAGAATTGTTGGGAGGTGTGTTGTCAATTTCTGCAGGTTCTGGGACTGCACTATAATCCTCAGTATCCAAGCCAGGGCCACCCCGTCCTGGATTCCATCTACTTTCCCCAGTAGAGGAAGGAGGAGACTCCTCTCCAACATCTGTACTGTGGGCCACGGTCTTGTGCAATAATGGTTGTATATTTACTGTTTTTGTGGTGGTTTGGGTAGTGTCCCTAGGAGAGTCTGGGCTGGCAGTAAGGCTGGGGGCTGGGTCTGGGTCAGCACTGGCGAAACGTTTCCATTAATATGTCCTGAACTGTAAACATGTGTCGTTTTCCATTACGAAAATGGTGCATACTTAAGTTGAGAGTAAACTTATGCTTCCCTATATGATGTTGCATCCTCTGGTGTTGAACAAGACGTATGTGCAACACTGGGCAATCTTTATTTCCCAAACGTTTCGGCAAGTGTTGAACATATCTTATCCATCAGCTTGTCGGTATTATATATTTTAATACAGAGATGTACACTAGACCTAAAAACACTTTGGCTACCTTAATTAGAAATGCACCACGTGGTTTTTAATAGCTTTGCAGTCACATATCACTCCAGAATATAACTTAAAAGCGAAGATACGTACTTCCATTTTAGTGATTGTATACAGTGCCAACAAGTAGAGGAACAGGACCCATATGGAACACTTGGATATATCTGTATTGTTAACGTTTCGCTTGTACAGCAGGCTTCTTTATTTGAATACAGACGAATACAATACTGGAGATAGTAGTAGTAGTTTTGACATGATTATTTATATTAATAATTATTTTTTTATTTTTACAGATACATGATACACCTTATACAGACATAGCTGACATCAGTTATGCGGAGCATTTCAGGCAGCTTAGGTTGATTTTGTCCTAAGGATGTAATCCACACTAGTCGGCTGATACCCAGGTACCTACCTACCTGGAGGGTATTCCGGGAATCAACGCCCCCGCGGCCAGGTCCACGACCAGGCCTCCCGGTGGATCAGAGCATGATCGACGAGGCTGTTTCCACCCTTACCAGGGACTGAACCACTGACATCAATGTGTGAGCTGAGTACGTACCAACCGAACTATGGTTCTTAGCCCATAATAATGAATCAAGAAGCCTTAATAACACGATTGCTAACAAATCACAGAACGGGTAGGAATCAAACATTGGCTTGTGAGTTTTAGGACACACTTGCCATGCCATGGTTGGAACTCTAATCGTTCTGTGATCCACAGTAATAAAGTCGGGCTTCGGGCTGGGCTTCAAGAGCAGATGTAACTTGTCGTGGCTTGTCCCAGGCTGTTATACTTGCAAGTTTGTCAGAAATAATAGAGCGATACCGATAACATCACATTAACCGATACCCACTTATACCGATAGCGATACTTTGTCACATACCTAGTCAGCTGCTGCTGTTCTGCTGAATCCACAATGGAATGCTTAACGATATCCTCATCGTGTTTGAGTCAGCGCGCATACACTTGTGCTCTCTTAAACTAACTTTATTTACAAGCTAAGAACTGTTATCTACATCAGCTCGTTTAAAAGTCTTTTTTATTGTTGTAAGACATACAAGTAGGGAACAGGATGGAGTTGGAGCCATCTGTCGGCCAGCAATTTCATTTGATCAACTGACAGTATTTCGTTGATACCATTATGCTGTACGAACATGTTCCAGACTTGAGTCATCTTAGGAATAAATGATCTCAGGTGAGGTGATGCTCTTGAGAAAGGTACAGTGGGATTGTAGTTGCTGTGTGCTACCCGTCTTGTGTAGAAACTCATTTCACGCTGTTCGCGAAGTGGAGCCTAGTGCAGTACCTTGAAAATATTGGCTTTGTACATAATAGTAAAGCTATCCACATCCTCCGGTGTTAAAGGCTTTGCTGGAATGACATCTGTCCAGGCCGCGTCCAAACCAGTGATGAGTATTCTTGCCCTATTCTGTCAAGAAGTCGCAGATGAGACAGGGGTCAGGCAATCCAAGAAAGTGGAGCATACTTGTACGTCGTGCAGAATATTGCAACCTCTACTGTCGAGCAAATGCGAGATACGTCTGTGTTGTTAGCTTCCTGGCCGCTTTGTTTGCAAGATTTACAACGTGGTTTTTCATAGTAGTTTGGAGTCAAATTCCTCTCCAAGGCTGTCAACTTCATTCCCGGGAACCAACACTGTCATTCATTATCACTGCTTCAGCATTACCATCATGGTGCAGAGACAATCATCATTTGTGTTTTCTCAGGAGCAAATGTGACCTGCTATCGTCCCTTCCCTCAACACACACAGACGTGCAGTGTTGAATAAAGAAAGTGTTGAAGCTTGCCTCACATTCGAGGACGCAGCATGACCTGTGTTGAACAAAGATCTGGATCTAGGGGTATTTTTAACACCAGTTATATTTAGTTATATGTCGAGGGGAGGCGAGTCTAGTGCTGACGTTCTCTTATACCTTTACTGGTTTTTCATTGTTTTGCTCAGTATTTCTTTTCTGAGATTCAAATTTAGATTCTGTGGAGGATGGTCACTAGTCTGACCAGTCATGATACAAGAGTTAAGCCGACATGTATAAATAATAATTAATAATAAATATTTATTAATTTTATTATTATTAATTTTGAGAGGTGCTTAGGAGAGCAGGATGTAGCACAGGGATGTACAAGAAGCGTTGATAAAATTATTGCATCAGCAGAAGGAAACAGTCATCTGGTGAAACAGATGCCACATAGGCCAGGTAGTCATGGCTGTCGTCTTGCGGGGCTGATGTCTTGAACAGCCTGATTGACTAGGGAGTAAAGTCTGAAGTCTGGCCTCGGTTGGGCTTTGAGTGTATAATAAGTCTGGAAAGTGTTCACAGGAATGCCCTTCTATGACAGGCAACTAACTGCCCAGGGCTTTTATTATTATTATTCTTTACATTAAATATTTACATTGTATACAATCTAAATATTTAACTGATGCTGTACATTGCACGTAATGTACATATTTATCCGTTGGGACCTGTATACTGTATAGAGTGCTAATATTTACCTATAGCCTACGATTATAAAGGTCTAATTCCTAGAAAGACTATAATCGTGCTCTCCCTGCAGTTGTGTATTTACGTTGTAAAGGTGTTACACAGGTGAGCTCTTGGCTCAAAACATCCCCAGCGGCCACTTGTTTGGCCGTATGAGTGTATTAGAGAAGTTTTTGTTACAAAACTCTCTCTCTCTCTTTTTTTTTTTTTTTTTTTACACAGGGTTTGACAAGGTTTAAGGATCCCTAGCTTTATTGACAGCTATTTACAGGTTAAGGATTCCTAACTTTATTGGCAAGCTAAGAGCTGTTACCTACATCAGCTCATTTGAAAGCATTTTTATTGTTATGAGACATACAAGTACGGAACAGGATGAAGTTGGAGCCATCTGTGGGCCAGCATTTTCATTTGATCAACTGACTTTATCTCGTTGACATCATTATGCTGTACGAATGTGTTCCATACTCGAGTCATCCTGGGCATATATGATCTCAGACGGAGTGATGTTCTGGAGAAGGGTACAGCCAGAGTGAAGTTGCTGCTTTCTGCCCGTCTTGTGGCATAAAAGCTTGTTTCACGCTGTCCTCGAAGTGGATCCAAGTGTGGTATTTTGACAGTATTGGCCTTGTACATAACAGTAAGGCCACCCACAACCCTCCTATTTTAAAGGCTCTGCTGAAATGACAGATCTATCCAGGAGGGGTCCACGAAGATGGGACGTTTTGCTCTGTTTCTACTCGTCAAGCATCGCAGATAGGGGGGGGGCGGGGAAAACCCAAAGAAAGGGAGCTACTCAATGCAGGTACTTGTGCCTCTACGGGATCTTAAACCCCCTACTGCAACAGAGGGGAATACGGGAAGGCTGTAAGCTTCCTCTGCCTGTTTGCAAGATTTACAACAGGGTTCTTCAGGGTTAGTTTGGAGTCAAATTTCCCCCCAAAGGATATCAACTTCTTCTCCAGGTGAACATCCCCCCATTCATCCTTACTACTGCACCAGCTTTACCATCATGGTCCTAAAGAATCATCATTTCGTTTTTCAGGTCAAATGTTACTTCCATCTTTTCCCCAAGCTGATATACTCTCAGCGGGTGATTGATGTAGCTTGAGCCTGGCATTTTTCTCTTGGATAAGTAAAGCAGTGTACAGTCGTCTGCATATGCATGTGATTCTGGGATAAGAAAAAGGGTCGTTAAAGTAACATTCCTAACAATGGCCCCAGCACGTTTCCCTTTGGAACACTTCCCCCAAAGGAGTCTTGCTGTTTCCTTTCCCTTTTTAGAACTACATTAGAATTCCCAGGGGTAGTCATGAGGGACATACGTAAGCCTGAAATTTCCCTTGCTTAAGTTTTGCAAAAGGGCCCTGGGCCCACCCCCGTCAAAAGCGCCAGCAATGTCCAGTGCTACCAAAGGGGGTGACGGTGCCCCTTAGTGGGGAGGTTTAAAAAACAGATCACAGCAGATAACCTTCCTAAGCCCTATTAGATCACAAAGTAGTGAGTGGTAGTCAAAAAACCCTTTATTTGTCTTGATTTAAAAGTTTCCCCAAGTCTTAACCCTGATTGACAGGAGTGACACTGGGCTGTGTTCGATTTTGCTCTGCCTTTTTTTTGGAACAGGACTACATTTCCCTTTTCCATAACCATTTAAAACTTCTACATCCCCTTTTTAAAATCATTAATCCACCCACAATTTCACAAAAATTTCTCAAATTTCCCCCCCCCCCCCCCCCCCCCAACAAAAAAAAAACACCCCCCCCAACCCCACAACCCCACCACACCAAAAATCCCTTTATCAAACTTGCATTTTTGGGGTAGCAAATGGTTTTCAGCAAAAGGTTCCCCGCCTTTTCCTCTTGACCTATAAGGTGGGCCCACCTGTCGATTTAGAGGTGGAATAATTTTCAGGCGATACCCGTCTTCCTTTACCAGGGGCCACCAGGTTTGGGGCACCCACCCGATCTAACTTTTTTTTGTGTCCACCTCCCCTTTAGCAATGGCCCACTTTTGAACTCACCCATATGCCTACAGGTTCATTGCAAGCCTGTTTTAGGTGGGGAGGAGTCTCTTATACCTTCGCCCGCTTTGTACTTGCAGTCAGCCTTCTACAACGAAACCAAACCAAGGTATCTGAGCTTTTCCATATTGCCGGTGAGGAATTGTTTTTGTTGTAGATTAAGGATGTGTCCATGAAGGCTTTCCTTGGTTTCAACATTCCCTTGGAAAAAAGCATTCCGTCGGGGGTGGGGAGCTCAGAGCAAAGGGCTGGCCCAATTTCCTCTCCCCTACCAGGTTGTCGTGGGACCCCCTCACCCCCTTCCTGTTGGGATCTTAAAAGGGGGTAAAAACAGCTTTGGTCAGACATCCAACTAGCCCAGGGGGTTTACAATGACTTGCCCTTTTGCCAATCACTCACTACTGGTCAAGGGAGACCAGAGTTATGAGTAGGGGAAAAAACAAAGTTTCTCATGTCAAAAAACGCCCAAAAAGGTCATCAAAGCCCCCTGTATAAGGTGCTGGTTGAGGTCACCAAAAATTAAATTGTTGACAGTTGTGTTTGACAAAGGGAGTCAAATTTTTTTCCCTTAGGAAGTTGATGGGGTCTGCATGTTGCCCCCTGATTTTTTACATTGAAATCTAGTAAGAGGTACTAGTGTTTATACGAGCTTGAAGAAATCATTTCAAGATGTGTAGGGGTGGCAACATCAATGTGCTGGGGAGAACATTTCAGAGAACACACAGCAACCCTCCCCCGCCCTTTTCCTTTTCCCTTTTCATCCAAGGAGTAGCCAGCAATTCTTGCAAAATTTTCTGGAGTCCTGTCATCCAAAAATGTTTCAACAACAGCTATCATGTCGGACGTCGAGTGATCACAAAGCTATGTGTGAGCTCTCCAACATTAGCAATGAAACCTCTAATTTTGGCCGACAGGATGCTAAATAGACTGGCTCCTCATGATGAAGTGGTCAGCTTGAGGTGGGGTGTGTAGGGAAGTAAGGTGCCTGCCCTTGAGAGAGGTAGGGTACTGAGGCAGCTGCAGGGATGTAGG